GTATCACGAGTTCCCCCTTGGGAATTTTTCTCGTTGGAGAAGTGGCATGCTAGATGTTGAACATGTAAAGAAACAACTTGTCGGGATATTTGTAATTTACTAGTGTCGATGAATTGATAACTTGCACTCGGAAATACATCAGAGACCCCGACACCTCAATTCACAATCTTACCTGAGTACTTCCCTCTAAAACATTACAATACCGCAATAACTCTTACTTGACACGTACTGTCACGGAGTGAACTCTTTACCGGAAGATATAGCAAAGAACTCAGGTATTGAGCCCTTGAAGAAAGAACTACTTAACGTGGCTTAATATTTTGAACAAATTCCCCTTGACTTTGTATCATTTATAACCATTTTTATGTTCTAAAGATCCTCCAAAGTATTTCCTATATGGCAAGAGGTGGCGCCATAACGGAAGAAAATGATTCTGTCTGCTAGGGAAACTGGGAAATTCTACTACACCCTTACATTTTTTCACATTAACGTAAGGTTATGGTTTTATTTAATGCTTCCCGACGGGAAAAGTGACAGAAAAGGTCAATAACATCAGCAGCAAAAATGCTGATAGTGCATTTCTATGCATAACCAAATGCGTATGACAGCCTCGTAGTCGGACCTAAATTCTGTTTGACATAAAATAGCTTTGAAGTTAGTCTTGAAATTAAGGTCGGCAATCCCAAATGTGGACTCTTCTCCCTCAAACGGTGTTTGGAAACGCTGACAATTTAATTTACCGAGCTAAGTCATTTCGTTATCTATTTCGATCTGACGAAGGGCTAACACTCGAAATGTCAGCTTTACAAACTCTTTACGGACCCCTTTAATTAATCAAGTTACTTTAGCTAGTCTCTATTTAGTAACCTAAAGATTTCTTTCAGTCCCTTTCTGTCGTCCCGAGGGAAGAGATGACATCATTATAAAAAATATTTAAATACGAAAAAAAACAAAAAAAGAAACTGAAAGAATTTTAAAACATTTCTGCTTTGGGTTTTATTACTCGATTTACGCTTTTTTGAGTCATCATATGAAGTATTGAAAAATATTTGTTTTATGGCAGTTAATTGAGGGGGGGGGGCGGAAATTGGGCCCTCTTCGGTGAGAGAAATTTAGGGTGAGGGAAGAAGACTTGATCGCCAACGAACGCACGTAAAATTTAGCAAAATCCGATTGTCGGCCCTTTTACAATGCGATCTGAGTTGCAAAATGTCCATCGCGCACTATTTGCAGAATTTACCACTTCTTTTTCATTTTTTTCTTTTACTTTTTTAAAGTTTGCTCATTTTAGGCTTACCTTCCCTTTTTTTTTTTTTTTAATCTAGCATAACATCCACACAATATGCAGCAAACAAGTACTGAGAATACTAAAACTTATCAGGTAGAATCGAAGTTATCTTGATTAAACACCAAATTCTCCTAACTAATTTACAAGGAAATATGAAGCTGCGAGAGGGGAGAATCAATAATTTGATCCAGGAGTTAAGGGTTAACTGAAGGCCACATTCAAAATAAGTGAATGTCCAGTCTAGAGGCCACGTGGTTGGTTTTCATGAGGGACACCGAGACAGCTTGTCATGCAAAGGTAAGAGAACTAATTGCAAGGCATAATTGTTCAGATTTTTTTTTTTTTTTTATGAGCTTCAAAAGCTACATCATTACCGAAAGTTCTGCTCTAGAGAAGAATGATGAATTTTCGCGCCCATCCGGGCTATGAACTTTACTGAGTGCGTTTGTAAAATTACACTTTGTTTTCGTCACGGAAGTTTCCAGAAAACCATATCCGCTCTGTCTTATGGAAGATCACTTAGAGATGTTTTCAAAGTCACGTCCTGTTCAATTCTCTTGCAAGTTTAATACAGGTTTCTCATTGTGATTTGTTTTCTTTGATCGTGAGTGCGAATTGACGCACTTTTTAACGCTCACGTATACGCAGGACATCATTCCGTAAATCACGATCCACCATCTTGTTGTTCAGTCTTCGACCTCTTTTTGTTTTTGATATTCGTCACGTCGCAAAAGATATAAAATCATTTGCATCAGGAGAAAAACACCGTATTAGCACACAACCTTGCGCCTATAGATCAGTGCGACAGGCGAGCATGACAAAAACTATCAAGAGAGGGTTTTGTAAAGTTTCATAAGGGAAAGCGAGATAATTAAACGCCGATGACAGTTTCGGCTTTGAATGACCTCGACATTTTAATTCCTCTCTCAGTTTTTTGACAGTTTAAGTTGCTGCTATGTTCGATCTCTTTAAAGCGATCCATGACGTAAATGCTACTTCATTTCCACCTCCGGCAGGCTGTAGGATTCAGCTGCTATCAATTTTTATTAAAATTCGGCTATTCTTTAAAGAAATGAAGGAAAATGAAGAAAAAATAAGTTATACGCGCAATGTACACGCGACGGAATAACTTTGAGACAACACCGGCGAAATGTTTTATCCGAACTAAGTAACGGATATCATAAGGGAACTAGGAAATGACTGTTTTCTAGCAGTTTCGAGGCAGCTGTAAATAGTTACTTTATTGGAAAAAGTCGCAGACGTCATTCACAATGGAAAATCAACGTGTATTTTTCAATTTCCGGTCAAGTTTTCCACGCGCGTATTTCGCGCGTGTTTTTCTAGCATGCGCAGTTGGCTTGTTGAGAACATGTAATCATGCGAAAATGGCGGATAAATCGCGAGGGCATAATCGCCATGGAAGTGTTGTACGAATTGGTTACTACAATATCGAAAAGACCATCGGAAAGGGAAATTTTGCAGTGGTCAAGCTTGCTACTCACTGCATCACAAAGGGAAAGGTACGAAGTTTGGCGAAATCCTGGACTTTCAATCGTGACTTCTATGAAAGAATCGTAGCGATATAAAAACGCAACTAGTCTTTACTGTCACTTCCAAGTTTTGAACAGCTATAAGCCAAACTTGGTATTCAAACGGTTGACCGAAACAATTATCTAGTTTGTTATGTTATGTATTCTTTCGTTGTGAAGTGGTTGAAATTTTTTTCCGTTCGCATCTTCTTCAAATAGGTTGCCATCAAAATCATCGACAAAAGTCAATTGGACCAAGAAAATTTAAAGAAAATTTTTCGTGAAGTTCATGTAATGAAGATGCTGGATCATCCTCATATTATTAAACTTTACGAGGTGAGTAATGAGTGTTATTTGTAACAGTATTTTCTCCTCTATACTTGCGGTTTTATTATGCCCTTTGGTCGTTTTTACGATGTCATGTTTATTCCCAGATGGGTACCATCTTTTTCGAATCTTTTCATCTCCGGTGCTAGTCTTTGTGACAGCAATTTTAATGTGCTTCTGGGAAAAAAAATTCATTGGAGTCGGTGTGATTTGAAAGTCGTTTACGAGGCTTTTTAAAGTAAAGAATGGCTACAATTCTTGTTTCTTCAATTCGTGACAGACAGCGTGTTGCAGCACACAATACCTGTACATTTACAACAGATTGCTTGTCGGCAAGACGAGAAAAGCGGAGTATAGGCCTTACTCATCAAGTGCCCGTGTCACGTTCTGCTTTGTGAGATATCGGAACGGGTTTAGCTCCATCCTAATCAGCGTGGAAGTGAAACTCAGCCGGAAAAATTGTTGCACTTTGCTTTCCTCAGATTCATGTGCATTACCTACACGAATTTCACTTGAAATTTTGCACTGTAATCGTCGCCGGTTTCATGAAATTGCCCCCTCCAAATATGAGCGATCTTCGGTTAATTTTCGCTTTGTATACTGTGGACAATGACCCCATATTGGGCCCAATCTTCATTTTCAAATTTTGAAACGAAATTTACGCTCTTTCATTGCAAAATATTCTTTTTTCGCCTGGAGTGTAAATATACAAATTTTCACCGTCGATGTTTTTGTTTACAAATTGGGAACCGCGGTTGTTTGAAATGGTGTCGTTGCGTGGATTAAACCCAGCTGTAAATTTGCAAATTGTTTTTAAGTTTCTGTGAGCTTATGCTTTCATTTCAGGAAAGGTGTGAACCTTTTAGTGGCGAAACGAGTTTGTTTGAGTCATTACTAACGGTTGAATTTTACCGTCTTACGGATTATTAAACTGCCAGTAATTTAGCCTTATAAATATTCCGTTCCCTTCCTGCTTTGGGGACCAGAAGCGTTGCAATTGCTATTTGTCTGTGCTTGCAACTGCTTTATACGTAGGAAACATCTGTTTTGATCGAAACAATTTATTGGACGTGAGTTCGACACACATGGATGAATCCACAAGATGTATTAACATCACTTGTTCCAGTCGAACAAGACGTTATCTAATCCCCTAAGATTCACCAAATGGCTTTGATTTGCATGTAGAACTTAGCTGCACTTTCATTGTACACGTTTCCCGAGTCACCTAAGCGCCTGAAAAGAATGGGCTATAGCTTTATTTCTCGCAAAGGTTATCAACATTGAACTCGCAGCTGCAGCACCATGCAATCGTTGTACGGACTGTGGACATCATACAAAGTATAATTGTAGGTTTTCATACACGATATTTCTTTAGCTTTACTCTACCAACACGAATCTCTTCTCATATTTCACAAATTCCTTGTACAAAATTTTAATTTATCGCCCGAAGAGGTAAAATATCGACTTCAAAGCTACCTTATCAAAGTCTCCAGGCAGGCCGTTTCAAGTGCTTTTAAGAAGTTTATGTAGCCAGGGACAATATTCGCTTGTGATCAAACAATAGAGAGCTATCGCCATAGCTGCTGACGCCATAAACTGATGCTGTAAATATTTTCAATGAATTGGATACAAATTCCTTTGGTCTTTAAGTTTAGAATAGAGATCTTATTTCTGTTGTTATATAATTTAACATGTTCAACTTGAAGTTTCCCCAAATCCAATTTTAAGACTGAATTTTTATGGACATTTTTAGTGAAGACTTTTTCTGAAATAAAATTTATCATTGTAGAACTGATTGCTAATAACAGATAAAAAACAAATGCTATATGTTTAACATGCATCAGAAAAAATTAAAATCACTCTGGTACAAGCAATAAACTCGTATGTATAATAAGTTTAGTTCTTTACCAATTAAAATTTCTTGTCGAGCAGACAGTATCTTTTAATCTTGGTTATTTTCCTGGTTTTGTCTAATACAATCAAGGTCTTACTAGGATTATTGATGTGTTGTCATTTACAAGAAGTACAAGGTACACTGTATATATTTGCCTACAATGCAATTATAGAAAACTGTGTCATTTGCAAATGCAAGTTTATTTTGAAGATTGGAGATTTTTTTTATTTTTTGGTGGTCCAAATAAATTTTGCGGTGGAACATTGCATGAAATTTTAGCAAGGAACTAATTTTTGCAATTTGAAAGAAATATTACAATAATATTTGCGGGTTGCCAAGCATTTCAAGTGACACATTGACAGAGTCCATAGTAGATGATGCATTAGATATTTTGAGCGATTCTGAATTTGAAGAGTGCATGCATAGTTTTTCAATTGACGTAGAGTATTGATTCCTGTTTATTTTTATGTTACGTTACATTTTTCAGCAGGAGCTTTTTCTGGTGAATCCGGGAACAATTTGTACAATGTGACGATATCAAAACCGAGAAATTGTCAGCCATACAGTAATTCGAAATTGATATTCTTATATGTTACTGTTGCATGTCAGATCTTTGATGCTGTCTGATTTGCCTACAGAATCTTTCTTGATATGTCTGTTCCTTTTTTTTTTAACTGTGTGAAACCTCTTTCAATTTTTAAAGAGAGTTGTGTAAGGCAGATGAATAACAAAAACAGAGTGCACTTATGTAAACACAATGCAAAGATAGCTAAGGATGAAGAAGATAAATTAGATTGTAAGTGATAGAGCTTGAGGGGTTTGGTGTGAATTTTTAAAGGTTCTTAATATGCAAACTGTGATTAAAAGATGTAAAGGTGATTTACAGCAAGTTAAAGGGTATGTGATTGATATCAGAATTATGGTATTATGTATTAAAAGGATTAAGTACTATGAATAACTTTTATTGTGAAATGGCATCAATGGTTCAGTTCCTCAGGGGGGATCAAGTTTGATCAAAACATTGTGCATGCACATGCTCTTTGGTTATCATTTTTATTTCTTCCTGTGGTCATAGTTGGCTGCAGGAAGGTTATTTACTGAATTAAGAACTGTTACAAAATTTATGCTTTAAAAGTGATCTCAAATTAGTTGGATTACTGCATATGTGCTCCTGTGTCACTTTGGTTGCGATGTGATATACATGTATCGCATAAAGCTTTGCCACCATTGTTGTTGCAAATCAGCACAATGGGCTATTTCAAGAGACATCGTGGTTGCCATACAGTAAACTTTATAGCAGTTTCAATTATATCAATATTCATCTGATTCAGTTTAACCATGTGTGGGATAGCAACTGGAGTCATTTTTTTTTTCTGTTTGGATATTTGTACAGTGGGAAAAAATGTTATTGTCACCTGAAAGATATTTTTCCATGAACAATTAGATTCAATGGCTGAAGACATGCAACTTAACATGTAACTCTGCTTAATTTGTTTGCATAATAAGGGCTTGCTCTAGTGCTTGACAGTAGAATGCAAATGAAAGATAGGCTGCGGTATTGTCATAGAAGCTATGTTGTTTCATCTGATCACCCACAAGACTAAAATCTTTTCTGTTAATATGTCACAGGTGTTCCACAAAATAATTGCTTGCTAATTTTTTTAGAAAATTCTGCACATGGAATTGATCCTTACAGCTTAACCTGTTGCTGGTAAATTATGCATTCAATTCTGTTCTGAAGCTGGGAAATGGTGGGAGAACAATTTTTTTTTCATGGTATTTGAATAAATGAACAGTTTTTTCATCAGTGCTCATGGTAAAATGGGATGGAAGTGGGTGACTCAAGGTGTGAGACACACACAGCGGTTTTTGCGGGATACCAGCTTTTTCTTAACAGCTCTTATGATGTTCTGCTCTCTTGGAACCACAACGGAATCCACATGGTAAATGATAAAAAGTAACCAAGCTTTCCTGAGAGAAATGAATTACATTTGTGAAAATAAGATTTATTCTTCTAGATAAAGAATAACTAAAGAAAGTTATATCATTGATTATGTGTAAATGAAGTTTGTCTGCCCTGCTTGTATACATCCTTTAGGGTTCATGTACGTAGGTGACAACTTTTTTTGTGGTTCAATGTGTAAATTGTCTCAGAAGGTAGTACATTCTCCACTTATTTTTTATCCTTCCTGCTGGTCATGGGGTGGCATTTCCTGCGTTAGACAAATGCATTGTGAAATGCGGTTAAGTTTATCGGAGTGCGACAAAATGCTTTCTCCATATTTCGTCTGCTAGCACAAGCACATTGTCTTTCTGGTTTTTAATGTTTCAGCGGATTTGTTCTTAAATTATCTGGAGACCATGGAAAACAGAGTATGTCTGGCATTCCATGTATTATGTAGGTTTATTTTACTTGTCATTATGAACCAAATTTATATCTTGTTAAAAAATTATTCACTGAGGTTTTTTTTTTTATCTCAAAACTGAATATGTTTCAAAACAAAAGTTTGAAAGAGCAAACCAATTTTTGCAAGGTAAAGAGGTGCACTTTGTATAAATTAAAACACCATTGGTTTCAACAAACAGCCACAAAAAAAGCTGAAATTAAAGCTGAAATAATATTTCGTTTGTCTTTCAGGAAAGTTATAGAAAAGATCAGAAGCTCTACTGAGTAAGGTTCAAATAACTTTTTTGAAAAGCCATACGCCAGCTTCATTTGAGGCAAACTGAATAATTATTGTCGTAAACCTAGAGGCCTTTTTGAAACCATATTTGGATGTTGATCTGTGACTGCTATATCTAAGAAAGTGTTTCCTTCCAACCTTAGGGAAAGTCATAAACTACCAGCACAAATTTCGTTGTTGAGAGTTTTCTTCTTTATTTTAAGTTTCTTTCATTTTAAATGCAAAACATGTATAGCCATAACCAGACTGCTGGTGTGCTCATAATGTAAAATTTTTTCAAGCATGTATCTGTTGCACTGTTTCCTAGTCAGTCACAATACGGAGAGGATTGATAAAACAAAAATGTGGTAGAAGACAAAGACTAGTGACATGCAATTGATTCTTGTTTCTATTGCTAGGAGATTCTAAAATAATTAAGTTTATCAACTGAGTTGTTAAATTAATGTAAATTGGCCAAGATTCTAAAGCTGCAAGATTCAAAAGCTGACATTTCAAACCTTGGTCCTTCCTCATTTGCTCTGATGGAGGGCTCATGCTTGAAATGTCAGCTTTGGAAACTGGTAATGGTGGCCAGTTTGCATGAACAACCCACTTGGTAAAACCAATTGAAATTACATATATCTTGCAATACCCTCCACTGACACGGCACCACATTTTCTTAAGAAACATACCTCTTATATAGATTTTAAAGTAACTGTGCACTTTGAGATCATCCTCATCGTATGGTAACATTCTGTCAAATATATTACTCATCTCTCCAAAGGTCTTATGGTACTGTATGTGTATAACAATTATATCACATGCCATGCTGCTTTTACCTAAGCGGTACTGTACTTCATGAACCAAACTTTGCTTTCACCAAGGCCAACTTCACAATGTAGGTTTTGGCATAGGCTATCTGCAGTTGAATTAAATCTAAAACTTTAACAAAATACAAAAATCAGGGCTTGACACTGACTTTTCAACTCACTAGCCAAGTGGCCAGTGACAACTCCGATGTTACGACAATTTCAGTTTGTTTACTAGCCAAACTGGTCAGTGGAAATTGAAAACCACCAGCCAAAACTGAATTTCTACTAGTCTGTGGCTAGTTGACTACTGTTAGTGTTGAGCCCTGAAAAAGTTAAATTTGTTTCAAGGATTTGAGACTGTGTGGCATGGGTTTGTTCAGTGTTGCGATATTTCTTGGGCAATCTTTTGGTATAATCAGGGTTCAAAACAACCGCCAGTCAATGTACCATAAGTTCAAGTTCACTCTCAACGAAACTCTGAGTACTTACAACCAAAACCACTTCCACAGGGAAGTTATAAATTTATCCAAAACTACAGGTGTATGCACAGATTAAGATCACATTTTGTTTTTTTTATCATTTCTGCAAGTAATGGTTTACTCAGTTTTGGTTGCCTTGCTCTACAAGTTTTAAGTCCAGTCGATATATATATAGCAAACCCAAGAGACACCTGTAGCAATCAAAACTTTTAAGGTCTATGGCAATGAGGGTTTGGACATACAAGGTTTTATTAAAAACTGGATCATTTGATAATGCAATTCAAGACTTTTTATAGGCTTAGCCATTATGGTATATGAGCCAATATACCATAATCTAATATCTGTACATTGTAACATCCGGTTTCTTCTTACAAATAAAGTTGAGAAGATTTGTCTAGTATCTTGGGGGTGTTTGTTTTAATAAAACAATTATTCCACTTGCGCTTGTTGGATATGAGATGATTATAGCCAACTCGGAGCTACACGTCTCGTTGGCTATCTATCATCTCATATCCAATGCGTGCTCATGGAATAATTGTTAATTACAGCTGTATTTGAAATACTGTCTGGTACTTATTATCCAACTGTGCTTCGCAGAGAACAAATAACATGCAAGATGAGTACAAATATCATGCAATATTTGTACTCCACGAAATTCGCCCACACTTAAGTAACAATTTGGTGCAATGGATAATAAATCTCGTTTTTTACTTGTTCTTTGTATTTTGACTCACTCAACAGGCTCATCAAAATACAGCACAACTCATAAAATACTCAGTGATAGTACACAACAAAACATGTAGTAAGATGAGTGGTCAGAAACAATCGTGAATTAGCAGAGCTTAAATTTGTTTGAGCCCTTGTTACACGGCAATGACTACCATGTATTTAAAGACTAATTGTGTCGCAATGCCCATCACTTGCGACCTTTATGCTAATTATTTTACACCATACCTCAATTTTTCTTTGTTCTTGGTTACATTGTTTCATTTGAATACATGGCATGTGTCTCAGACATGGCTTGTGTTTGTTTATTGTCTTGAAGTTAATTGTCTACTGAACATGTTACCATGTGTCTGTTCCGTAACAGGTCACAGATGACGTCAGAATGTGGTAAGAACAAAGCAGTGGCAGCCAAGTGTAACACTGTTGATGTAGCCACATTTTGACTTTGTATGAGGTCTATTACTAAACAAATGCAGGGCAACTTGGAACCTATTTGTTTTGATATAAAACTAGAAGCATAACTGCGTGAATTCTGGCCTCTTTGCTTTGGAATGTTTACAAAGGCATGTTATCTGACAAAGAGTATTGTTTAATTTAATTTCAGCTTGTTATCCGAAAATGCTAGACATCTTTTAGTGTGGGTCTATTACGAACAGTGTGTGCTTTTGTATGTAGTTTGCATGTGTTAGAAAACATATTTACCCTTGAATCACAGGGCATCTTTCTGTTCGCCATGATAACCATGTGCTTTGAAGCTTACCTGAGTATATACTTCATGATTGAATGCTGTATAGTTGTTTTCTTACTTCGCAACTGAAAAAGCATACACAGCGCATGCGCTTTACTTGCTAGACTGCGTTTTGTGTCTCAAGACAGAAAATGCCCAAGCCCAATTTATAATTCGGGCATTCCACAATAAGCCCAAGTAATAAAGCAGCAAAATGCTATTAGTGGTGATGTCAGCTATGCATCTGTCAACCTAAAGATCTTATTTAAGAAGAACCAGTCAAAAGGCTTGCGTAATTCAGCGTATTCCAGTCTTAATAAAATCAGTCATACATGTATATTTGTGAATGTGATGCCCCCTTTTTTGTACAAAAATACTCATCTTGTAAAGGAGAATCAAAAAGTGAGCTTAAAAAAGAAGAGTTTCCATTGCATTTCTCACGAGAAGGCACAAAACTTCTTAAAAGTTATTTTAATAATCAGCACTTTTACTCCCCACGTGGTGAGCACCTTCTTCTCATTCAGTCGGTTGTAGCTAAGAAATAACACTGCTGCCTGAAATTTCAAGTCATGCGGCTCAAACGTGGGGAACGATTGTAAGTGTGTAACCTTGGAAGTGGCCGCTGGCCAAAAATCCAGCCAGCAATTGCTGCTTTTTCATCTGGCAAATTTTGGCAGCTAACACACAAAACATGGATCTAAAACTCTCTGACTGATATCCTCCATTTTTTCACATGTAGCTGGAAATCAACCTTCATCTCTGCAGAAAAACTTAAAATAATACTTTGTTAAGGAAGATAAATGCAATGAAAAGGGAACAAGGATTGTGAGGGGGAAAGAAGATTAAAAACTTGGAAATAGTATTTGAGGAAGCTTGATTAGCCTTGCAGAGGTTATCTTCGAGCTTCATGTCAATGTCAAAAACATCTCGTTCAAAATCAACAAAGGTACATAATGTTACCTTTTGGTTTTCACTCTAAACAGGTGATGGAATCAGACAGGATGATGTATTTAGTCACAGAACATGCAAGCAAAGGAGAAATATTTGGTGAGTTCATCCCATCAGCTTAGTTCACACAAACTCTCAAGAATTATTCACATGTAACTTCTCCCATTAATTTCCATACATTATCTAGCAAACAGGCAATGAGAATACTTAAACTAATCAGATGGAATTTTTTTTTTCTTTACATCAAACAGCAAATTCTTGTAACCAATTTAAATCTACATGGAAATGTGTTGCAGCCAGAGGGGAGAATTAACCATAAGACCTTGGAATTAAAAGGGATCTAATTCCTGGAAAAGAACTTATTTTTTGCAAGTTACAGTAGCATGATATTTTGTCTTATCGAGATTTTAGGTTACGTGGTACAAATATAATGCACTTTCTTTGTACATAGTTATTTTTTTCACTTATACTTCTTCAATTGTGTTGGTTTAGATTATCTAGTTGCACATGGTAGAATGTCTGAGAAGGAAGCAAGGAAAAAATTCCTGCAAATTGCATCAGCTGTTGACAGTTGTCATAAGCAGTGTGTTGTACATCGAGACTTAAAAGTAAGGACTTTGGAATTTCTTGTGTGAGACACCTTTACTGGGGCTTCAGTTTGATGCACGAGACATACATGGAAATGTTGGTCTCATATGAAACGTAGCTTCTGTTATCATTTTATCTGTCTGTAACCTTCATAGAAAGGAGAGATATTTTAGGGTCAAATTTTCTTGTCTCAAGGTTCTCCTCTAACTTAATGTCCCATTGTACAATATAAACGGTACAGTTCAATTTAACTGCTTGATGCAAGTACAGTGTATATTGTAACCAGGTACATCTGTTCAGTGTATATCCCTATAAAATCTGGGAGACACTTAGTTAACCTGATAGGCAAAGTTGGTTGAATCTACATCAAGGTAAAGTGCCTGGTAATATTGCAACACACAGTACACTCTTTATCTCAGCTTTGTGACATAAGCCCAGGGTAGCAAGGAGGTTGACTGTAATAATCTAACATTCCATCCAGCACAACCAGCTATTTGGTATATGTAAGCGGGAATGATA